CACACACAACATTAAGGTGCACCCCCACACAACACACAACATTAAGGTGTACCCCCCACACACACAACACACAACATTACAGTCTACCTCCAGAGCCCGACAACTCAATGCTGTCCCCGTCACACTCGCCGAACCGGTCCACCTCCACCATGTTGCTCTTGGCGCAGGAAGACTTTCTCATCTCACACTCGTTCACGTAGCTAGAGAGAGAGAGAGAGAGAGAGAGTCAGAGAGTGTTTGTGTGTGAGATGGAAGGAGTGTGTGAGGGAGGGGGGTGAGAGAGAGTGTGTGTGTGAGATGGAGGGAGTGTGTGAGGGAGGGGGGAGGGTGAGAGAGAGTGTTTGAGATGGAGGGAGTGTGTGAGGGAGGGGGTGAGAGAGAGTGTGTGTGTGAGATGGAGGGAGTAATGCGTGTATTTCTGTGTTAATGCTGAATCTTTTATGTTGCTGTTTACTGTTCTGGAATATTCACCTATAATTATCATCGTGGAAGAATACAGTGTGTCTTATCTAATGTGACCCGATCCGATCTGATCCGGCCTCATTTCTTATCATCTCGTTTCGTCTCCTCTCATCCCATCACATCCCTTATCTAATCTCATTCCATTTCATCTCATCGCATCCCATCCCACCACACCCCGTCCCACACCATCCCATACCATCTCATCTCCCACCAAACCCCACCCCATTTCATCTCATCGCATCCCATCGCACCACATCTCATATCATCCCTTACCATCCCATCCCATCCCATTCCATCCCATCTCATCTCCCACCAAACCCACCCCATCCCACTGTACCCCACCCCACCTCACCCCACTGTACCCCATCCCACCCCATTCCACCCTACTGTACCCCACCCCACCCCACCACATCCCATTCCATCCCACCAATCCCCACTCACGTCTGTCCGTCAGTTCCGCAGACAGGCTCATGCACAGTGGGACACAGGATGGGGCAGATACATCCTACCTCATCCCATCCCACTATACCCCATCCCACCTCATCCAACATCACCCCACCCCATCCCACCCCACTGTACCCCATCCCAACCCACTGTAGCACACCACATCCCATCCCCACTCACGTCTGTCCGTCGGTTCCGCAGACAGGCTCACGCACAGTGGGACACAGGATGGGGCAGATACATCCTACCTCATCCCATCCCACTATACCCCATCCCACCTCATCCAACATCACCCCACCCCATCCCACCCCACTGTACCCCATCCCAACCCACTGTAGCACACCACATCCCATCCCCACTCACGTCTGTCCGTCGGTTCCGCAGACAGGCTCACGCACAGTGGGACACAGGATGGGGCAGATACATCCTACCTCATCCCATCCCACTATACCCCATCCCACCCCACCCCATCCCACCTGAGTGTACCCCAT